AAAAAACTACTCTGGACTGCCAAGAGAACAAACAAATATGTGTAGGAAGAAGTAAAACCACATTGCTCCTTAGAAGCCAGGAAGGTGAGACTTCATCTCTTATGCTTTGGAAATGCTATCAGTAGGGGCCAGTCCCTGGAGAAGGACATGATCCTTGGTAAAGTGGAGGGTCAGCAAAATAGAGGATGACCCCCAAGGAAATGGACTGACACAATGGCAGCAACAATGGGCTCAAAAGTAGCAAAGATTGTGAGGTTGGCACAGGACCAGGCAGTGTTTCATTCTGTTGTGCATAGCATTGCTGTGAGTCAGAACCAACTTGACAATGCCTAGTAGTAACAATTAATTAATCTCAATAGTTTCCTCTTTGTACTTTAGCAATTACTGATTGTCTACACCTCTAATTCATTGGGTGAGACTGGGTGAAGAACCTAGTTTATTTGTTGTTATCATTACTATATTAATGATCCAAATACCCCCAAACTTCAATGCTGCTTACTTCTTTATATGGCTGCATAGCAGAAACATAGCTAAAAAATAAACAAGAATGGTGCCTACAATAGTGAAATTTACTAAAATAATGGTTGATCTTTTAGTAATTCAAGAATTGTCATTTACAAAATGTATCTTTTTTTATAAATAACATAACAACCATGTGGAAATTACTAGCTAATTTTCTCCAAGCATCCTCAGCCCAATGTATATGTGTTTTATGGTTTGCATCAACTTAAATGATTTATGAAATTTGGAAAAAGGGAAGAGATCTATAACATACAAAAAATAATAAAGATATGTTATTAAATACAAAAAATATAATTAAGTGAGTTGAAACCTAATAAACCACCCACCTTGGCTCAACCTAATTTGCTAACTCTCAGAATCAGAACAAAAGCTTACTTTGTCTTAAGCCATTGAGTTTTGAGGTGGTTATGTTGTGCAGCAACAGCTGACTGATACAGCATGTCTTGTCGAAGTTAAGAACTGAGTGGCTTTTGACAATGTCCAAGGGATGGGAGTGGGGAAGGGTGGGTGGCAAAGGAGTTATTCAAGTGAGGTAGCAGCATCCTAAGCTCAAATATGGAGTCCTGGCTGCCATCTGCGATTCCTCCCACCACAACATTATTAACCTCTGGGGGTTCCCATAGGGTTGAATTTACAGACAGAAAAGACTCATAGAGGTCCAAGGGCAACAGGTCTTATTTTTACTGCTATTCAGGTGTCCTTTCTGAAGTGGCTGGCTTCTTCTGTCCCCTCACCAGGAATGAAGAGGAGTTGAGGGGGTGCAGCAGACCTATACTCCCCCCAATGCCTCAGTGAGATGACTAGGAATAGGGTGTGGGTCAAGAAAGTGTCCAGGAGGATAAGAAGATGGAGCAGGAGGGAAGGTCGTAATGTGTGCTTATTTGTTGTTCTTTCGTTCGTTTGCTGGGCAGTATGAACCAGACCTGAAATGTAAGACCAGCGTCTCAGCTCCTGGCTCAGCAGTCGCTTCTCTGCACAACACTGAGTCTGGATATACAGACCATGAATGGGGCACACTCACTCAGGATCCCAGAACAGGTCTCTGGATACCTAGCGTGACCCAGACTCCCCTGATAGGGTAGCTTGGTGACTGTAGGACCTCCCCTCCTTGGACTGACAGGTTCCTGAGCTGGAGGGTGTACCCTAAAGGGTCCCCCAGCCCTAAGGGGCAAGGGCAGCTAAGACAACTTGTGCTAATGCTCTAGGTCTTGGAGTGGATAGGGCAGGGCTCTGCTGCGGGAAGAACTCCAGTTGCCTGAAGGTACAAGAGGTCAGCTGACTCCCTGGCTGTGCTCTTAGGGGTTCAAGTTCCTGGAGTGGATGTCAGAGGCCACCTGTCTTGAAGTTTGTGCAGAGAGGCTGCCTCTTGCCAGCTATCAGGTCTTGGCTCCTGGATGTCTGAGAAGGTAAAAGAGGAAGCAAGAACCCCTGGACCTCCCTCAGTGCAGATGACTGACCAAAGAGGAGCTAGGACTCCTCCCTCCCCAACCCTGGCGGCCTCCAGCATGCCATCTTATGTCAACATCTTCTCCAAGAGAGCAGGCCTCATTTCCACCATCACTCATGCTCAGAGACCTCAGGGTAAGAGAACATGAGGTCTAAGAGGGTGTGGGTGTGCCATGGGAGAGGGTCCTCAGTCAGGGTGTCCACCTACCTTGGAGGTGCGGGCTTCTCAGAGTGGCTGTTGGGCTCTGACAGAGTTCTCAAGGTCTAGGGAGCAATGCGGGGAGGGGGTTCCTGTTTTGGGGTGAAGCTCAGGGTACTCAAGGTGTTTGGGTATTAGATTGGGAAGAGGGGAAACCTTGGGGAAGAATTCAGAACTCAAGAGTCAGTCTCTTCCTTTCCCTCCCCTACCCAGTATTCACTCACCCAGGGGCCAGGGCATTCCAGCAGCTATTGAGCCAAGCTCCATGGGACGAAGGCTGCCCAGTGGGCCATCCCTGTATGGGCCAGCTTTAGATCTAAGCAGCAGGATAAGAAGCCAGGAGGCTGGACTAGTGACTCTGCTTCTCCACAAGCAGTGGCATAGCGCCCAGCATGAGCTCTGAGTCAACACCATTCTGCTCCAAGTCACCCGCTCCGACCCTCTTCCTGCATGCATCATCCAGAGAAGAACCCTGAGTTCCCTCCCATGACTGCCTGCCCCTCCACTACCCAGCCTGGACTGTCCCCCAAGCCCTGGCGCTACCCCAGCATCCTGGCTCCTCCAGACATGAACACTGCTCAAGTCCCAAAGGATGACGCCAAGCTAACTTTATCTGCTAGTGCCAACTTGCTCTGGGTTTTGCTACTTCCTTCCATGTCTCTTCATGACAGTCTCCATTGTCCTCATGATTTTGCTCTGGTGGCCTGGTGAGGAGTTGTAGTCCCCTCCCCTCATGCTACCAAGCTGAGTTCTGCCCATACACCCGCCATTACTGCTCATCATGCCAATGTCTCTCAGCTGCCTGAGACCCAGTTGGTACCCTGCTCCCCTGGGGGATGCCCTCTGCCCCCTCACCAGTCAGTGACATCTCCAGGTCCAGCCCAGACGCTGTCCTCTCCCACAACTCACTTAGAGCACCCTCAAGGCCAGGCTGGATCAGACATGGTCAGAGGCCTGCCTTGCCTAGGGCTGCCCTAGGTCAATCATGCTTGATGTGAGATGGACAGAAGACTGGATGAGGGGTGGGCATCACAGCTGACACAGTGAAAAGATGTGCTGGGCCTAGTATTTGGGGACTTGAAGGTGTAACTGAAGAGAAAGTGGCAGAAGCTTGGAAACTCAGGTGACAGTTGGGGAGGCCTTGAAGGGCACAGTGGAGTCCCAACCTTTTTAGGAGCTGGTGGAGACACTGAGCAAAGCGAAGGGTGAAGCAGTCATCTGGTGACAAAAACAGGAGGTGTGGACAAGGAGGACAGATCACAGTAATGGGGCTCCCAGGATCCTGCCCTAAGGTGGTGTCGGAGGTTGGGAACCCAGGCTTTGGGCTTGATTAGGAGGCCACTAGGACTTCCTGCTCAGGGTTCCTCTCTAATGTCTCCAGCTGGCTTGGCCTGACGACCTCACAGACCCTGGGAAAGACCTGAGACCCCTGTTCCAGCTCCCAGTCGTCCCAGCAGAGCTCTGAGGAGCAAGACCCTTAGCCCTCAGATGTGTGGTACTCAGAACCTACCCACTTCGAGCAGGACCCCTCCTCGAGCCCCACAGGTACTTACTGCTGGAGACAGGACCTTGGGCACCGGTAACAGCACCAGGCCAGGCCAACCCCAAGGAGCAGAGGCAGCAGAATGCTGAGGATCATGGTCAGCAGGAAGGCATTGTAGGCTGCCAAGGACATCGTGGGACTGAGTTCTGAGCAGGTTCACTTGCCCAACCCCTTCCCTCCTGTCCCATTCTCGCACTTGCAAGCTGCATGGGGCCACTGTCTATGCTGCCTCCCAACCCTGGCTGATCACAGAAGGGTGGTGCCCAGCCAGGAGCACAGTGACAATTGTAGTTGCTATTACAAACCTGCAGACAGGAGAGTAGGAGGGAAGGAGGGTTAAATGGCATCAGAGGCTTCCAGGCTCCCCACCTTGTAGGCTACTCACCCCATGGGCATGGCACATTGCTAGGCAATACTCCAGCTCTGGGAAGGTGGCATTCTGGCAGCGCCTGTCCTGGCATACCTATAGACAGTGTGCACACTGGGCAGTGAGGGAATAGAGTTATGCCTGCCAAAGGAAGGGAGGGAGGGTTCTGGGGAGCAGAGCTCACCATTTTAGGTCCACACTGGGTGCCTATCTCTACTAGGCCCAAGTCCAGCAGATCCAGTGGGGCCCCAGTGAGTGAAAGAGCTCCTCTGCAGGTCATCTTCTTGCCATCGAAGCTGATGATGGAGTCCACAGGCACAGCGTGTGGCACCCGAGGACCCTGCTCCCTGCCCTGACACTGCAGCTTCCCACACTGTGCATCCCTGGAAACGGAATGAGAATGGTCAAAGAGCAGGAAGCGGTGCACGTCCTCCAACTCACCCACTACCCTGCTTCCTCTGCCTCGAATCCACAGTGCACAAGTACCCACCTCTGTGCACAGGGCACAAAGCGTCCCTGACTGTCTTGACCACAGTTCCCGTGGGCGTCTCCCGCTGAGTTCACAACTTGAAAACAGGGCTCTGGGGCTGGGCGAGCGCCTGGGGAAACATGGGTAGGGCTGGGGATTGACCAGGCCTCATTCTCATCCCCACCCCCAAGCTGATATCTGAGCAGGCTCCAAGAGGAGAACCAGGTTGCTAGGACGCATTTGCCGACTCACCTGGCCCCCAGAGCTGCTCACACTGTTGCTGGAGTGTGGGACACGCACCGTCCCGGCAGTAGCCATGGCCCCTGGCACAGGGTGAACCATCCAGTGCGTAAACATCTGGGGGACAGTGGGGGGAAGCGCCCGTGCAGAATTCCGGGAGGTCACAATCGCCCGCGGCACGGCGGCACGGCGCGCCAGCCGGCTTCAGCTACGCAAGTGATAGGGGTTAGGGATGGAGGCAAAAGGGAGGGAGGCCGAGGCACAAAGAAATAATGGACAGTGAGAAATCCATTACAAGAGAGCGCGGCTTCAAGGCAGAGGAGCCCGGGCAGAGCCAAATGAACCTACGCACAAAGCAGAGACAGCATCTGACGCCAATCGGCCAAGATCGGCAGGCGAGTTCCCAAGCGTTGAAGGGGAGAGAGAGTAGGGCCAGTTAACCTGCACCCCCCGAGTTTCCCCTACTCTCACCCGGCAGTGCGCACAGCAATCCCCGTGGGCGCATTGGGCTCCAGTGCGCAGCGAGCAGTTGTGAGCTAGGCAGCAGTCGTCCGAGCATTCCTGCGTCGGAAAGACAAGGGGGCATCAGATCAGGTCTCCCAGCACCCCAGGCCCCCGGGGCTGAGACGAGCAAGGGCAGCCTGGGGCTCTCGGGCTGGGCCCTGGGATCTGACCTGAGGAGCGCCGCAGTCACACTCTTCGCCCTCATCCACAAAGCCGTTCCCGCAGCGCTCCCGCGGCACCAGGAGCCCGGGATCCCGGGCGTTGGAGAGGCACGCGCCACCTCCCTTTCGGAAGAAGGAGCGTAGCTGGCGGCGGCTGCAGGCGCTGAACACCCGCGGAAAAGGACGCCTGCGGGCGGGGCGGGGCGGGGTCGTCGGGTTTGCAGGAACCACCCTCACCGCGGCTCATCTGCGCCCCCACCCCTGTACTTGGCCACACAGCCTGCTAACCAGCCTGCGTCTCGGGCGGCTGGGATCCTCTCGGAAACTGTTCATGTTGGGGATGTGATTTTAAAATTATACAGATAGCCGAAGGCTGGAGAGGGTGACACGTGAAGAGTGGGCAATCCAGGACCCAAGATTGACTCCTGACCCAGCGCTGCAGTTGGAATAACATAGCTAGGTTGTTCCTAAACTATGTTCCGCCATTTAAGTCTCATAAACAACCAAAATGCCCTCCCCCCGCAAAAAAAACAAAAACAAAAAACAAAAAACAGCGCGGGTAATCTTTATGGCCGCAGATTGCCAGACTTATTTTCCGCTGAGCGGCTAAGTAAATTTCAACGCCAACCTTTTGTTTAATGGTGGTAGTGGCTGTGTGGAAAAGCTCATCTGATTGATAGATACTGACCTTGTGGTTTGCAGCCCAGGTCATAATGCACTACGCTACCAGGGGGTTGTTGTTGTTAAGTACCATAGAGTTGGTTCCGACTCATAGCGACCCTGTACAGGGTTTCCAAGGAGTAGCTAGTGGGGTTGAACTGCCAGCATTGTGGTAAGCAGTTCAGCGCTTATCCTACAGCGCCACACCAGGACTCCAAGATAGTTTATCAATAATAACTTGTGCCACCAGGGATGTGGCACCCAAAAGCAGTTTCCAAGTCGACCACCCCTGCCCCTTCCGCCCTTCCCTCCTAGCTCCACCCCAGCTCCCGCACCCCATGGCCGCTGCCATGACGCAGCCTCCCTGCTCGGCCTCGGCCTCCATGCAGCAGCCGTCGGAATCATGACTGAGGCCGAGACTGTGGCCTATCTCGTGGGCCATGGTGGCTGCAGCGCCAATAGGGAGCTCCGAGTGGTCCTGGAGGACGAAAGGGAGGAGGGAGGTCACCGCAGCCCGCAGCCCGCGCTCCTCGCCAACGCCCACCCCACCGTTACTGGGCCTCACCGTGCTCACGCCTCCGGAGCTCTCCGAATTGCACATGCCCTGGACTGGCGCCAGGCCCACTGTGGCGCCCCTGAAGGTGCGGCCCCTGAGGGTGGAGCGCGGCATGACTAGGTGGGGCCGGAGTCAACACCGCCCAGCTCGACCCGGGACCCTCGTGGGAGACGGGACTACCCACGTGAGCAGCTGCGTGGAGTCGTGTGGCCGCAGTGCCCACAGCCCGCGACGCCACTGCAGGAAGGCCCAGAGTGTGGCGTTCGCGTCCGGTGTGACGCGGCTCAGGTCATGCTCTGTCCACACTTCCAGGCCGGTAAGCGCCACCTGAATGTCCAGAGTCCTAAGGAACTGAGGACGGGACGGAGCTGAAGCCAGGAACCCGGAGCCCCACTTGGACCCGTGCTTACCCGTGGGGTTGTGTCTCTACTCGGTTTTCTCTTCTCACTAGCCCGCCGCCCCACTAAGACCGATCTGCCCCTGCCGCAGCTGTACTCAACCTGATCCACATAGTTGGCGATCTCCAGGAGACGCTGTTTGGTTCGATTCAAGTTCCGGTGTTGTGTCAGGTACTGGGAGGACAGCAACACAGCGGCGGCGTGAGGGGCTGAATTGGTCCCAGCCTGGCCCCGCACCGGTCCTTGGGCATCCATCCCCTCACCAGGGCGTGGTCAGCCACTATGAACAGCTCCAGGTACCTCCGGCTCCTGGGGGCCTCTCGCCTCTCCTGGGGAGGGGCAGTGGTGACTCCTAGGGAAGACTGCTGGCCTTGAGCCCTGACCCGCCCCAATTCCCCAAAGGAACAAAGTTAAGGTTAAGAACTTTCTAGACTTGTTTCCTCAATCTCAATATAAATATTCCCTGGATTTCTGTATCTTCTGATTGAGAGGGTTGTGGATACCGCATTCCCACTTCCGCCCCATCTGTGCTCCTCACCCTGGTCTGGGGGACACGAGGGAGATCAGCAGTGTCTCTTTTGTTACTGGAGTGCCTGTGGCCACAGGCCCCTTTCCAGTTCAGCAGCTGCTCCGTCCGGGAGATCTTGTGGGTCCAGGGGTCCTTGGAGACTGAAAGTGGCCAGGGTCGAAGATAATAGCTGGCACTGCTGTTAAGTACGATGATACCACTGGGGATGCAGAGGGGATGTGAGTGAGGGAGCTCTTGCCCCATCCCCAACCTACCCCTGGTCCCTCCCAATGAGCTCCTCACCTCATCCCAAAGCAGGTACTGAGGATTATCCAGGAATCAGGGTAACCCCTCACATGCCCCTGGTAATGGCAGTGATCCTGAAAAGGAAGGAGCGTAGCCCTAAATTTCAGCCAGGACTGAAGTAGGTGGGGTCAGATAGAGGGCATGGTGGAGGACTGACTCCAACCTCTCCTTAGAAACAGAAGAATTGAGTAACAGGAAGTGGAAGGGTGTCCTCAAGTTTGAGCCCCCCAGCACACCCACCCCATCCTCAGAGCACATGGAGACAAGGAGATGTCTCACCATGTATTCGGGGACCAGCACCACTGGCTGCCCATCTGAGCTGTAATGGGTTTCTGTGTATCCAGGGACCAGCAGCCTGCAGGGAAAAGGTGTTATAGGAATCACCCAGTCTAGCCCCACTGCCCCCAGAAGGCCCTTCCTCAATGATAATTGAACACTTCTATATAAGGTTCTTGGAGAGCCTATATATGAGGTTTTCACTGGCTGACTTTTGTGAAATAAATTATCAGGCCATACTTCCAAGTCATCTCTGAGCAAACTTCAGACTTCCTGTATTTCAGTCAGCAGCAGAAACACTACCAGGGACTCCCAGTAAATAATGTTGTTAGGTGCCATTGAGTCAGTTCTGACTCACTGTGACTCTATGCACAACAGAATGAAACACTGCCCGGTCCTGCACCATCCTCACAAGTGTTATGTTTGAGCCCATTGTTGTAGCCATGTGTCTTTCTCTTTTTCACTGACCTTCTACTAAGCATGATGTCTTTCGCCTTGATAAATTGATAGAAAACTGGTCCTTCCTGATAATATGTCCAAAGGATGTGAGACTGTAATACTACTTCCAAGACAAGTTTGTTCTTCTGACAGTCCATGGTGTATTCAATATTCTTTATCACCACCATATTTCAAATGCTTCATGTCTTCTCATCTCCTCCTTATTCATTGTCCAGCCTTTCATACATATGTTGTTGTTGTTGTTAGGTGCCATCGAGTCTATACTGACTCATAGCGACCCTGTGTACAACAGAATGAAACACTGGCCAGTCCTGGGCCATCCTCACTACTGTTGCCATGCTTGAGCCCATTGATGCTGCCATTTTGCCAATCCATCTCTCTGGGGTTCTTCTTCTCTGACCCTCCACCTTACCAAACATGATATCCTTCTCCAGTGACTGGTCTCTCCTGACAATATGTCTGAAATATGAGAGACAAAGTCTGGCCATCCTGGACTCCAAGGAGTACTCTGACTGCACTTCTTCCAACACAGATCTATTGGTTCTTTTGGCCACCCATGGCACTTTCAATATTCTCTTCCAACACCATAACTCAAATGCATAAATTCCTCTACAGTCTTCCTTATTCACTGTCCAGCTTTAGCATGCATATGAGGCTATTGAAAATACCATAGCTTGAGTCTAAGGACTAAGGTGCACCTTAGTCCTCAAGCTGACATCTTTGCTCTTCAACACTTTAAAAAGGTCTTGTGCAGCAGATTTGCCTAATGCAATACATCGTTTGATTTCTTGACTGCTGCTTCCATGAGTGTTGATAGTTGATCCAAGAAGAATGAAACCCTTAACAACTTCAATGTTTTCTCTGTTGATAAGAATGTTGTTCACCACTGGTGGTGAGGATTTTTGTTTTCTTTACACTGAGATGCAACCCATACTGAAGACTATGCTCTTTGATCTTCATCAGTGAATACTTTGTCTTCTTCACTTTCAGCAAGCAAGGTTGTATCATCTGCATATCACAGGTTGTTAATGAGTCTTCCTCCAATTCTGGTGCCACAGTTTTCTGACAAGAAATTTGGAAGACAACTATCTGGCTGACTAATTGGAAGAGATCCATATTTGTGTCCATTCCAAAGAGAGATGACGCAACGGAATGTGGAAAGCATTGGACGATATGTTTGATATCCCATGCAAGTAAAGTTTTGCTAAAGGTAATACAGAAACGGCTGCAAGCATACATTGACAGAGAACTTCCAGAGGTTCAAGCTGGATTCAGAAGAGGACGTGGAACAAGGGATATCACTGCTGACATCAGATGGATCTTGGCTGAAAGCAGAGAATACCAGAAAGATGTTTATCTGTGCTTTATTGACTACACAAAGGCTTTTGATTGTGTGGATCATGACAAGCAATGAACAACATTGCAAAGTATGAGTATTTGGGAATACTTAATTGTGCTCATGAGGAATCTGTACATGGACCAAAAGTCATTGTTTGAACAGAACATGAGAACACTGAATTATTTAAATTAATAAAGGTGTGCTACAAGGTTGTATTCTTTCACCATACTTATTCATGCACATGAGGTGACTGAAAATACTCTGGTCTGGGTGAGGCACACCTTAGTCCTCAAAGTGCCAGCTTTGCTTTTTAACTCTTTAAAGAGGTCTTTTGGGACAGATTTGTCCAGTATTTGCTTTTTAAACAGTTGCTCCCATGTGTGTTAATTGTGGATCCAAGTAAAATGAAATCCTTGACAACTTCAATATTTTCTCTGTTTACCATAATGTTGTTTGTCAGTCCAGGTCTGAGGATTTTTGTGTTCTTTACATTGAGGTGTAATCCATACAGAAGGCTGTAATCTTTCATGTCTATACTTCAAATCCTGTTTACTTTCAGCAAGCAAGGTTGTGTTGTCTGTGTATAATTAAAGGGTCTTCCTCCAATTCTGAAACTATCTTCCTCATATAATCTACTGCTCATCTGTCTGTCTTACTGTGGTGACTTGCATGTTGCATGATGTCATCAGTATTTCAAATACTATGGCAGACAGGTTTCCTCAGAACTTCCAGACTAAGACAGACAAAGATGAAAGAACTGGGGATCTACTTACAAAAATAACTGAGCAGTGGAGAGATGGAACAGCTGGGCACTTTAGACACAGAGAGGGAGAGGGACTGTGTGCTGATGACCAAGGAGCAGGCTTGTAGTGTATACCCTTTGGTTGGTTGATGATGCATTGAGGGGATTGTAACCATGGCAATGAAACAATATACAATAGGATGAATGTAAAACTAATGTTCTCCCATGTAAACTATCACATAATTCACAATAAAACATTAAAAAAACAAAAACAACAACAAAAAATAACTGACCAGTGAAAAACTTATGAATAGCAGCAGGCAGTAAATCATAGCTGGATGGTTATAAGAGTTCCTCACAGGCTCCATTTAAGACACCATCTGCCCAGCCCAGGGCACAGTTCTGAGCCTGGGATTGCCTGCTTACCCACCAGCACAAAATCTTAGGCTTCCAGGACACTGAGCATTAAAACAACATTCCTGACCTTCTGTGATCTGGCCCTGAAGGGGAGTGGGAGGCTTTCTGCCTGCTCTCTGCTCTCTCTCCTGTAGCTGGTGACTTGCCAGACAAATCAGACACATTGTTGCTCATGGTTGAATGTTGCAACCACTTCAGCTTTGTTTCTGCCATTACCTCAGTCTGGAATACCCTCCAAATTCTATCAACCCCTTTAGATTCTGGGCTTGGATTTTCTTTTCACTTACATAACTCTGTGGGTACCCACTAGGTGGTGCTCACTCATCTCTGGCAGGAAGCCTGGTGCTGCCAAGCTGCTACTGGTAATTTGAGGGACCTGTCCCACATTGTAGCTGATACAGCCTCCAAAGAGGCAGCCATGGGCCTGATGTCCCCTGTACCTCCTCCAGGACCCTCTCCCCATATAGCCTCCCTCAGAGGCTCGTGTCAGTTCCTGCTGTCCCCACCATAGAGAGGTTCCCAGACCCTGCTCCAGCATGGTACTTACTGGTTCTTCTCCAGCTCAAGCAGAAGCTCCTGACCTTCAGCCTCTAAGGCCACCAGCCCCATGTCTATCTTTGAGACCTGGATGAGAAAGAGTGTAGAGCTGGGGTGGACTTGAGGCCTACCAGGGAGCAAGTAGGATGTGGAGCTGGCCAGGGAGGGAATTCATGAGGACTCAGAGGGGAGGGACAGCAGACCTCCCCCCACCCCAAGTGTCACGGTGGGTGTGGAAGGGTGTACAAGTGAGTCATGAAGACAAAGATATTCCCAAATGAGGACTTTTGTGCCCTGACATCCACCTGACAAGTCACTGCCTGGGAGGTGAGGGAACCCAGACAGGTGCCCACCTTGCCCAAGTTCCTGGGCCTTTCCTCTGGGCCCTCCTTCCTTGCTCATGACAGGAAGGATTCTCTAGGCAGGGGACAGTGGGATCCTGAGGCACTGAGTGACCTTGGTTCGGGTCTCCTCCCAGCCACTATGCTGTCTAAGGGTTTGAGTCTGTATTTGTAGCCCCTTTACTCCCTGTGGGATCTGGGAGGATTCTGGCAGTTTCACCCTCCCACCCCCTGCTAAAAAGTTTCCCTTGGTCTTCAGCATGTCCACGCCACAACTGCTTCACTGAGCCCCCCTAGTAAACAAGAGAAAAGCATTCGTTTCCTCTGCTTGATGTCAGGATGGTGGGCCTTGATCAGCTCCCCGATACTCCCTACCCCACCCCTGCCCCACTGTCTCTTTGCTGCCTGCCTCCTCCCTGCAGGGATACCTAATTTGTGCCCCCTTGTCCACTCAGCCTGGCTGGATCCCAGAGTTGATCTGGCCCAGTAGCCTCCTGGGGGGCTGCTGAATCTACAAATTGTTTGTTCCACCCTTGCTGGCCCTCCTCTTTTATCCCAAAATGCCCTGGGCTCGGACACCCGCCAAGGGACTCAGAGTTTTAAGGGGGCCCATCTCTTCAGGTGGGGAGCAGACAGCCCTGCCTCCCTGGCAACAGGCCCTCCAAGGCCTCAGCCATGAGCTCATGTGGCTGGAATGCCACTTGCTTTATTGGGGAAACATTTGTGCTGGGGAAAGGCGGGGGGCCCAGATGGAAGGGCAAACTGGAGGTCTCCAAGTCTCCTCTGGGGCTGCCCTGGGTTCCCCTCTCTCTATCCCTCTGTGGCCCCTGCTGTCTTCATTCTTGTCTTTCTGGTGATCCTGCCCCCTCTCTCTGCACTCCAACCCCAGCATGAAATGTATTTTCTTGGAGAGGACTCTCTTGCCTCAGTTCTGCCTTCTTTTTCTTTGGCGATTTCCTGGGACAGGGGCCAGTAAGTAAGAGAGAGGTGCTCTGGGATTACCCCCATTCCCCTGGATCACAGGCAGGGAGAGATGTGCACAGTCAGGGTGACCCAAATGTGTGTTCCCCTTCCCCTCACCCAATTATGTCTAGGAGAACAACCCCCAAAATTTAGGGTTGTTTTCAGGTTTGACCTCTTCATGGGGGGCCCTAAGGGTCTGGGGGAACTTGAGGGCTTAGGGAAGCCTCACTTAGGGCCAGGTTGGAAACTGCTGGACCTCTGGGGGCATCCCAGCCTTCATGGCATCTCTCTCCTTCCTCCCTCATCTCTGGGCTTGGATAGTGGGGCTGTCCTCTCTCGCCTAGAAATCGCGGGTAGAACTCTCTCGAGGTTCAAGTGGTTGGTGGGGTGAAGTTGTCCCATGCCAAAGAGCTAGATGACCATGGGCAACTCTCCCTACTTCTCTGAGCTTCACGCTCCTCTGTAAACTGGGCATACCAAGGGTGCCCACCTCCTGGTTTGCATTATAGGCGTGGCGGTGCCTACAGATGGGGCTCATTATTCTGAAAGTGTGTAATGGGCAGATGTTGGGAGGAGGCAAGGCCCAAGCATCCTGGAGAAGCAAAAGGGGGTGGGACTCTATTCGGGGGGCACCAGGAGAGTAACCAGAAATGGATTCTGTGAGGCTCCTGGCCCCTCAGTGGTAGTACCCTGGGGGTGGGAGGGGGAGAAGGGGGCAATAATGTGTCTATAGAGTCATATGTCCTGTTAAACTTTGCAAAAAGAAGGTATTTCTTGAAGAAGCCCCTGAAGAGTTTCAGGCCACACAACTCTTAGGACCCTCCTCTGTGTGCTGGGGGTTGGGGCAGCCGCATCTTGGGAAGAGAGGGAAAGGAAGAGGGGGAGGGGAGGAAGCCTAAAAATGATTTCCATGTGTGCAGGCTCACGAGATCTCGAAGTTTCCCCACCCTCCCCACCCCCCACGCCCGGAAGGGGACTGACAAAGTTGTGATTGGGTGGTTCTGGGGACCCCAGCAAACCTGCCAAGCCGGGATTCAGGAAGGGCCTAAGGTACTGGGAGACCCCCGGTTCTGGGCAAAGGAATGGGTAATATGCCACTGACCGACTCCTCCAGGGTGACTTTGTGTCCATCCAGGACCCAGTGGGGGGTGGTCAGTTCTCCAGGAGCATCTCCTGCAGTAAGAACAAACTCAGGGTGAGGGAAGGGCCTAAGGGACAGAGAGCTGGGCTTGGAGATATGTTTAGCCTGGAGAAGGATGGGTACCCATGGGACATTCTGGAACTGAGGGCCCAATAGGCAGAGAGGCAGCAGAGCCTGGGAAGGGAGCGCTCAGCTAAGGAGGAAAGAGCCCCATTGAAGGGGAGGGCTTGAGGTCAGAGGTCACGGGAAAAGGCTCATACCCCTCCCCCCCAAGAGAAGAAGGGCAAGGAGGAGGTAGCTGAGATATTTTTAGATCAGGCTGCAGATGCCTTTAGGATGAGAGATCCTGAGAGTGAATACCAGTGTCTCCCCAGTTCCCCACCCTGTGGGAGCAATAACAATAGCCAGATACTGCTTTAGAAGGCACACCTTATCCCTTCATGCTGGGGACAAGGCTCTACCCTGGTCCCAAATCCTCCTCCTCTTGTCTACAGACTGGAAGGGGCCTGGGGGACAGATGGCTGCTGGCTGAGTGGGACTAGGGGGCTCCAGGAGGAATTCCAAAGCCAAGAAGACACTGGAATGTTCCCCCTGGAATATTCCCCAGCTCCATCACTGGGTCCCAACAACTCACCAGGCCCCACCCTGTAGAAGCCAAGCCCAAAGCAGCCCAGAGTTTCTGCCAGTCCTCCCACCCCTCTAACACCAAGTCCTGAGGCCGGCTCAGCTCCCAGAGCAGCCACCCACCCAGACTGGCTGCCTGTGGAAGTGTCTCAGTCGCTGCCTGACCTTAACCTCCTTTCCCAAGAAGCTCTGGTATGGTAGTGGTTACCAGTCAGGCTGCTAATCTCACTGTCAGTAATTCAAAACTACCAGCCATTTTGCAGGAGAAAGATAAGGCTTTCTGCTCCTGTAAAGATGTATAGGCTCCGAAACCCTATAGCGGGTTGCTATGAGTCGGAACCAACTCCACGGCACATAACCACCACCACCTCCTCTCCCAGGACCTGAATTGTCTGTCATCAGGTAGTGAGGGTCTGGGAACTCCACAGTCTTGGGAGAGGCTAAAGGGGCCTGTATGAAGAGGGGCTGGAAAGAGTCTTGGGGAGAGAGTGAGGTGGGGATCTCTCAGCCCAGTAAGGACTTAACTGGGTGTGGAGAGTCAGCACTTGCTGGCCCCAGGCCTCCAAGTGTATATTAAGGGGAAAGGTGTGCCTGTGTGCATGTATGGATGTTTTTCACACAGCACTGCACACATACACTGCTACTGGCCCCTTAGTGGAGGGTAGATATGAGGCTGTGGTAACTAGGTGGATGGAAGTGGAAACTGGGGACAGTGGTGGGGAGCATTGAGCCCTTCCCCACTCCTCCCAGAGGTCTCAAGGAGAAGGGAAGAGCAGAAATGCCCAGGGACCATCTCCAAAGGCACAAAGGCTTCATTCCTCTCCCTTGGGACCCGAAGCAGAGTGAAAAGGTGAAGGGGTGGAGTCCCTAGACAGACTGCTTGGTCAGGCCTGGGTCCGTGCTCAGCCAGACAGCAGACAGCAGTAGCCCTCTCTCCCTCTGGAAAGCTGGCTCAGCTCCGTGCTTCAGGGTTGCCTCCGTGTCCCCTCCCCCAGGCACTCGATGTACAGGACTTCCATTCCTGCTTCAGAGACAGCTGGTTACACTGGGAAGGGCATGCTAAACAAGCACGTCAGTACCGAGAAGTCCTCTATCTAACCAAACAAGGCAACAATATAAACAATGTTCAAGGGGTGACCAGTGAGTGTGGGGTGGAGGCCATAGCTAGTCCTGTAGTCTAAAGGCAGTTTGGGGACTCTCAAGATGGGGAACTTCCCAGAGCTGGGAGATCCCCTTGGCCCTAAGCGGCAGAGAGGTGCATCGGTTCACCCTGGGACTGGGTGCTGGGAGATGAGTGGAGTATTTTGGCCGAGGGGCATGGGAGGATGAGGGAAGGTGGAGCTTCTGAAAGGGGAAGGGGTTCTGCCCCTGTGCTTTGCCCACGGAGGGGTGGCAACTGACAGAGTGTCAGCAAGTTGGTTGCGCGGGCGCCCAACCAAAGCACTGTTGAGGATCCCTGGTCAGATCAGATGGAGACCCACCTAGGCCATCTCCACTCCCTGTCCTCCTGTCCCATTTGTCTGCCCCTCAGGGCACACCCCGCCCACGTCCTCACCTTGAAGAGCCCGAGGCTCCCGCACTAGCCACAGCAGCAACAGCAGCGGCGCCTGCGACCCCCGACCTCTCCGGGACCCCGGGTGCATGGCTGTGAGCACCTCCGCCTCTAAGTTGCGGCTCTGGCTCTCGGCTCCGCCCCGGCTGGGCTGGATCGCAGCCTCCCCACGCCCAGGGCAGCCCGGCCTGCCGCCGCCAGACCCTCCCGCGCCCCTCCCCGCGCGGACCGCAGCCGCTCGACTTCTTACCCTGGTCAGCGGAATATAGCCGGTGCGCCCGCGGGGAGCCGGGACTACCCTCCGGGAGGGAGCGGCCGTCGAGAGAGAAGCGCTGGGCTGGGTGGAATCGATGTGACTCCTCGGTTTCCCTCTTACTCGCGGGGTCAGAGGGTGGAAATAGGGCGGGAACCGTGGGGAAGCACCTTTGAGGACCTCAGCTCGGGACACTGAAGCCGGTCTGCCGGCTGCTGCTCGCGTCTGCCCAGAGAGCGCCCCACTTCGTGGCGTCCTGGACCCGACCTCTGTCCTTGCTTGCCCTGCCACCGGTCCAGTCCAGAAACCCCCAGAGAGCACCAGGCGGAGGTCGAACCAGGTCCTCTAAAGGCTTTGGATGTCTCGTGAAAAAGAGGCCGGGCGACCGCGACAGGCAGGTGCAGCCAGTCCAGAGATTGTCAGCTGGTGCCACAGCGGTTGCTGGTGCCGACGCACACGTGGGTGGGTGACCCGAGCGCGTGGAGGCCAGGCCCTGGGGGCTTCAGTGCTGCCCAAACGCGATGCGGTGGGTCAAGCGAGGATGGACATGCGGTGGGGGAGTGGGGCATGGTTGTTCCTGGAGCTGAAGGAAAGTAGTTCAAAGCCGTTGGCAGTCTATTGTTGTTGTTGTTAAGTGCCTTCGAGTTGATTCGGACCTATAACGACGATTTACAGGGTTTTCGAGGAGCAGCTGGTGAGCTTGAACCGCACACCTTGCAGTTCAAACGGCTTTGCAATCTGGCGCATTAACCCACAGCGTCACACCAGGAATATCTGTTTCTTGTTTTAAAGTTATTGTTTTGCTTTGTTATAATAGATAATAAACTCGAACACCAGTGGCAAGTATTTGGATACCAAGGAATGTTAACTTTCTTAGGATCTGGAAATCAAGAATTCAGTTAGCAAGAGCTACAGCAGAGACAAAGGTACATTCAAGTGATTAAGTGTCAAAACTATAAGATGAGTTTGCATGGGCTAAGTGGGACAGAGGTAAATAATGATGTATGCACAACCTTGAACAACAGGGGTCTGGGATACAGGGATTGAGGCATGGTTTGAATGGGTAAAAGGGGGGAATAATGTTAAGATACTTGGCTGTCTTTTTGAATCTTGTTTTCCCTGGCATATCATTGTAAAATAGACAATTAAGGGGGAGAGAAAGTATCACCATTCAAAGCTTGTAAATCCGTCTTCTGCCTGTAACTGATTGGAATACCTAAAATGGGGCTACAACTTGCCCAGTGAAGGAGGCTTCCTGTGGAGCCTTTGCATTGCATGAGACCGTAGGTGGAATCCTGAACCCCACCCAGAATCTTCTGAGGTGAGAAATCTCCACTTGAAAAGACAAGCAGACCAGCTTGGAGTGGCTAGAAGAAAAGAAGATACTTCTTGAAAGAAAGACCGACAGAAAAAATAAAAAACAATAATGGCAGTCCAACTGACTACTACAAGAACAAGCAAGCAAGTTGCTCACCCAGGAGACATCAAGACAAGTGGTCGGGCCCCTTCAGGGAAAACCCCTTCCAAGGCTAAGACTCAAGGGGAATACACGAGCAGGCATGCAGTCTGACTGGTGACCACATTGGTCACTGATAAAGGGAAGTGAGGGAAAAACAGCAATGAAGTTGTGAGCTAAGTCCGATCAACTTCAATAGACAAATGTGAACCCAGGTGGAGACCTAGTTGGCCAGCAGTGTGGCAAGACCTGGGGACTCCTGGGCCCAGAGACAGTGACATAGCCACAGAGGACTAGAGTGGAGAGTGAAGTGTCCAGCTGATAAGAAGTGAAGGAATTGGCACAAGAACATCTACATTTGCAGATAATACCTAGCTGACCTGGCTTCAACGGCTGGATGACCAGAACTCAACTAGAAGAAGAAAGAAGAGAAAAAAAAGAGTAATCTGATACAATTTGATGAACTTGACCTATACCTATGGATACAGTAGCTCAAAAGAGGGAACAAATCTTTACAGCGAGGATCATTCCCACCCCCTCCATATACAGAGTAGACAGGGATGGGCAACTTGGACATTGGCTACCCAAATTTTTTTTTGGGGGGGGGTGGGGGACTACAAAAGCAAGAAGTGACTGGCTTACAAGCTTTCAAGAGGGAGCCTAGATCCAGAGGGCGTGGAGGAAGGTAGATTCTCCAGTGAGTAATATCCAATCTGTCTGGGCAGGGCTGATGAAAGGAGAAGGGGATAGGTCTCTTGCGGTACAATAGTGAATAATTGTTATCAGGACTGACTGTGAGGGTTGGAAATGTAAAGGTAGATGTTTTGTAGCAAAAGGAGGAGAATGGTTGACTTTGCAGTCCAGGAGCGGAGGCCCCTGGGACCATCAAGGGAGAAGAGCGGAGTTTGGGGCCCTACCCAGAGAAGCAGTGACTCCAGAGATGGAGGCAGAGATGATGATGTGGAGAGATGGAGCAGCTGGGGACTCTAGACCCAGAGAGGGAGAGGGGCTGTGTGCTGATGACTGAGGGGCAGACTTGCAGGGTATACCCTTTGGTTGTTTGATGATGCATGGAGAGGATTGTAGTCATGGCAATGAAACAATATATGATAGGATGAATTAGCTAATGTTCTCCCATGTAAACTATCACATAAAATTATCACAATAAAATCTTTTTTAAAAAACCTAGCTCACAGGCCTCAAGCTTCTTATATAGGTTTTTAGATTAAAAAAAAAAAAATTCAATTTTCAAGTAACCTTTACTTAACTTTTTCCATGTCAAAGATGATAGCAGCTAACTCAAATCAGTTAATGAGGTTTTACTATGCCTACAAATTATTTTACTATGAATAACTTTTACTTTTAAAACTTTTTATTGTGAATTGAGTGAAGGTTTATAGAGCAGATCATCAGTTTTACAAACAATAAACCATTACTTCATTACAATAATTGCAATCCCCACCATCAATTAACAGTCTTTACCTCTATTCACTTTAACTCATATTTCTCCTTGTGTCTCCTGCTACCTTCATCTTTCCTCAGTCAACCTCCTGCTTGTTGTATATTGCCTGCCCTATCATTCATATTAGTGTCTACCTTTTAGCCCCTGAATAATTCTGTCCTCCCCACCACGATAACCATCATAGGATGTTTATCAGTAAAAGGTTTTTAGATTGTTTTTATGCATACACAAGACAATACAGACATTTTCCATCCATTCACATTTTTCTGCACTTTGATTTTTTTTTCACTTAATACATTTTGGGATTCTTTCATATCTGTGTATTTAGAGTGCCCTCATGATTGCTGTTTTTATTATAATTATGTAATTATACTCTGGTAGCGTAATGGTTATGAATCGGGCTGTGAACCTTTATGTCAGCAGTTTGAAACTACCAGCTGTTCCTTGGGAGAAAGATGAGGCTTTCTGCTCCCTTAAAGACTTA